TTTGAACGATCAACAAATAAACAAATTGCGGCGCCTGTTAAAGCCTAAAGTAAAAAGGTATTTCTAGTTTGGATTGACCATTACTACAGGTACTGAGTTCAATCTTCACTGTGTGCTTCATCTCTTGTGCTAAAAAAAAAGTAAATATTTTTCATCCTTCTGGGTGCAATGATCCAATTGGTAAAAGCATAAATAAAAAAAGAAATGGTCTTTTTTTCAATAAAACGACCCAAGCTGCAAATAAATTTAAAACTCCGGTTTCATTTGAAAAGCAGCAAAAACATGGCTCAATGAATATCCACCGGCAAAAAGAGAGAAGTAAAAAAAAAAAAATCAACGGAATAATAATTAATACTACAGTAGAGAAAAACAAATAAAAAATAGGCAAAAACACAAAACAATGTAAGAAAAAGTCCAACAATAATTTCAGTACTCACAAATTCCATGTTCATTTTGAGTAGATCCTAACAAAATGTATAAAAAGGTCTATTTAATTTTTGGTCAGTCAGGTAACGCTATAACGACGCTTTGAAGTTACGATGACGCAGCGATCATGACAAGGGAGATTACTCTGGTTTCTAATTTTAAGTGAAAGTAATTGCAAAGGAATAAGGAAAACAACAATATTAAAATTTTAATTTGCGGTTGGAACGTAGAAAGGTCTTATACTCCCTGTCTCCTTCAGTTGGACGGAGGGGCCTTGCAAAATACTCGACGTCTGATTCGGTCCCGACTAAGATGGCCAACTATAGAAAATAAAAAAAAAATACGGGACGGGGAGACTGTGGATAGGTTCCCAAACAGGGATTATGGACGCACAGCAGTAACACAAACACTGAATTAAAATAAATCAATTTGATATTTTTGAGCGATACCATTTGGGAGAGTAAAAGAATTTGGTAAGAGAAAAAAATATATATATTTACGAACAGGAAGCGCTCTTTGATTTTTTCGTCGCGTTCTTTTTTATAAACTCAAGAAAGAAAAGTGTTCCACAGATTTAAAACTTTTATTGTAAAAAAAATTTTTTAAAAATTAAAAAATACGGGGACATGTTGCATGGCATTTTTACAATAATAACAGAACAAAAAATATTCAAACAATTTACTCATATTTTTGGTTAATTGTCTACTTAATAAGCCTTTTTAAAAACAAATTTTCATAGAACATGGTTTGCACATTTAAAAGTTCGTAATAAATTTTTCTTTTTATGTAGTAGTTCTTAGTTCTTTTTTGTCCTTTTCTTCTTCACATTTATTAATTTTTTTTTGTAACGTTGTTTCTGAGCCAACAAATCAATTTAACTAACTATTCCATCTTAGAATAAGTTTATTTCCTCCAGTAGTCATATTATTTATACTGGCTTCCACTTCCCCCTACCCCTTGTAACTCTCAATAAGTTTCGTCCTCTGCCACCTCCCCCAGAAAGGAACAGTAATTAAATAATTTCTAACTTAAGCTTGTAATATTTAATTTAATCAGAAATTACAAAGTTAATACTATCATTAAAAAAAAAAAAAAACTATATCGAATGACGTTCTTTCAAAACTTGAGAATTTTTTGTAGCAATAGATTTCTGAGCCAACAAATCAATTTAACATAAAAGTCAAGATTAGGACGGAAAGGCCGGCTCCCATCTTAGGAATAAGTTTATTTCCTCAGTAGTCATGTCCTTTAGACTAATTTGGTTAAATAAGTTTTCAGCTAGGGTATCATTGGTCCCTTTTATTTCTTTCCCTATTTTTTGTTTATGTGCCGTGTCCCTTCAGGACGAATGAGGCGATCATGGTTTGAATGTGTACTTATTTTCCCCCATCGACCCCCACATTGTTTGTGGGGTTTTATTACTCTCAGTTTTGTTTAATTGAAGTTTCAATTTGTAAATACTTTGGGGATTTTTAAGAAATTTGTTATTTTATGACCCTCCCCCTATTTGTATATATGGGGACCCCAGACCATAGAGAAACTGAGGTTCTGTCATCCATTTATTTGTTTTGGTGACTGGAGTATTGTTGGCATGTTTGGGTTTTTGTAACTTAAGTTTTAGATTAAAGACCCGTCCAGGTATGTTTGTATATATTGCTTTTGCCCTCTATTCGACCTGTGGTGAGTATCAGATTATCCAGGCCTTCCTTTCTCATTATGTGTTCCAGAAATTTCAGCTGTCTCTTCCTGATGTTAAATATTCTTCCTTCGTTTTTTGCATCCTCTCCAAAATCTCATCATTGCTCATACGCTCGGTCCATGATTATATATATATATCACTTTTACTTACTTATAAGCCGTAAATGAACAATTTGATGTCCTTTTCAATGTTTGTTAGATTTCCGTAAACAAACCTTATAAGTTGAACTGTTAAACAAATAACTTTTCTCAGGTTACATTTTTAACATCGCAATAGATATTAGGAAGATGTGATTATTTTTATTGTTTAAAAAAAAATTTAAACAAATAACTTTTCTTTTCTTCAAATAACTTTTTATAAAACTTTTCTTCAAATAACTTTTTATAAAACTTAGTTTAGGAATTTTTCCAAAACCATTTAAAAAACATTTTTTGACAAAAATCACCCCATGCAAACAATGCTACTCCTTTCATCCTCAAATAAAAATCGATAGGCCATATGTCTAAACATTACCCTAAATTAATTATATAGTTTTTTTTTTTTAAATCTCTAATATATAAAATACAATTTGAATAATTTAACATAATGAGTCAAAAATTCTTTACTAAATAAATATTTTACGTGGCAAACTCGAATGATTTACCATGGAACCAGAAATCTTAACATCTTTCTTAAACAAGAATAATCTTCTGTTTACTTATTTTGTAAAAATACCAAATTTTGTCACAAGGCCGAAGGGGAACTGGGGAAAGGCTGGTCTTCATTAGCTATCCTAATCCTAGTTAATCCAAATCACGACCTATTCATGATTACAATTTTTACTCATTCACCACAAGAACTTGTACATCACCTCTCAATCCTGCATATACTACAATACTGCATATTTACAGATGACCCACAAAACACCCCATAACAAAAATTGATAAAACTGAAAATGTCCGTAAAAATTCCATGAATCATGAAATGATGTGGAGGGGATGAACCCAGAAAACAAACTGAAAATGTAACAAAGGAAAAATAAACATGACACTTAAAACAAAAGTAAAACCGATATTTCTTAAGATCAAATATCAGTTTTACTTTCATTAATTAATTAATTTTATAAATAATCTTTTAAAAATCCCTAATAACTTATATGCCCAGTTTTTCAAAGAATACATTTTTATTTCAATTTATTGTTTTCAAATGTCCATTTTCAATAATTTATTTTGTAAAATATAAAGTTTTTAGCAGAATGTATCTTTTGAGAATGGGTAAATTAAATTTAGCCCAACTTAAAGTTGGTGAAAATCAAAGAAAGTGGTAGCCTTAACTCATCAACTGGAGGGTTGGGATGAGGAGTGTGTCTAGGGTATTGTTGAGGAAATATGATATTAGTCAGCACTACTGATCCTAAATGTACAATAAATTAAACTAAAAATTCACAGACCGAGAAAAACATAAATATACCAACACAAAGACACATATACAAACACACACTCAAGATAGATACACATGTTATTTAAAAAAACAAACAAAAAAAACATATCTGGCTAGGGAATTCCATTAACCCTAACCCTAATTACCAAAATGTGTTTTTTTTTTAATTTCATGCACAAAGATTTTTAAAAAATATATATTTTAGTTAGAGTAAAGGAATCATTTTAGCATCTAAGTTACACCATTAGTATATTTGTTAAAGATTGGGATGAGCCTGACAAACATTGATGACCTAGAGTCACCACTGATATATATATATAGAGAGAGAGAAAGAGAGAGAAACACTGTGGGCATATGAATCAACACCTCATTGAGCTATGAAACTGAATCAACATGCTTATTTTCTTTAACCTTCAATATCATAGCAAATTTTAACAATATGCACACACACACACACACACATAACAATATACTCATTTGCAATGACTAGCTAATTCTTGCTCAGGCATATTTCTTCAATGCTCACAAAGCCAACCTGTGGTTGATACTATAACCATGTTGAGCAGATGTTAATTACAATTTCTGGGAGATTGATTGTCAGCAGTGAATAAGACCACTATGTTTGACCCTTTGGTCACTATGACTTAAGACTTCATGCTATAAACAACAATTCAACCATTCTGAACAGTTTTGTTGTCAAATTGCTCACAAATCTTGGATCAACCTTTAGTATGATCTTCAGGGATGTATAACCAGGCTGATATAATCAAGTCACCTGTTTGACAAATTGACTCAGGTTTCATGGTCAGAATGGTAATATTCTAATTTTAACCACTCAGTCATATATGTGTGTGTGTGTATGTAAGAGAGATAGAAAAAGACAAAAATATTAATTAAATTAGCCTAAATTAGCACAAGGGGATACAGGAAGAAAGATTGTATTGTATTAAACCCCAGTTCACAACTACCCAAGTCGCAAACCAATCTGTGGCAAATAAATCCTGCATTAAAATATTTATGATAAGTAGACTATAAATTATAAAAATTAAACTTTGTTCTGAGTTAAAATTAGCTTTCCTTTTCAATGGTGTTTTATGCTAGTAGTGTCAAATTGGATAAAAAAATATACCATTTCTCATCTAAGATTAAAAAAATAAATAGGCAAGTAAAATGACTACTTGAAAAAAAGAAAGGAAACAGCATCCATAAAAGTTATTATATTTGTTTGTTTATTAAATTAAATTTTTAATACTAACTAAAGAAAACAAAAACGACGCCTTAAAGTTTAAGGCGTTGTTTTTTGTTTTGAGTTTAAGGCTGTGAAGAAATGAATAGATAAAGAAAAAAGAAAAAAATTGTAAGGAAAAAAACGAAAGATTTATTTAAATTTACTGCATAAAAATAAATAATAAATCTGAAAGATTGTTGTTGCTAATTTCGGAAATTAAATTAAAAATCAATCAATCCCAGCAATTTTTCTTAATATGTCTAACATCACATAATCGATCTCGACTGAGTCATGAGGAAGTTCTCCAGCCAAGGCGAGTCTCGAAGCATTCTCCAAGTCAGCCGCTGCTCTGACCACAGTAACCACATTACAATGATCAATACCTTGTATGGCGCAGTTGAGGAATATCTGTTCTGCGAGTTTGCGCCTATAAAAGTCTCCTCTATCGCCCGACAGACCGACGTCATGGTGGTTTCCAGTCAAGTAGACGAAAACATCGTCAATATAAACAACAGCGTTTGGTTTATTTAGCAGGCGTGTATTGTTCATCATTAGAATTATTTGCTGAATGGCTCGTGTAGCTATGCGGTTTAAAACTGCAACACGCGACATTATTTATAGCCGAACTGGTTCTATCGAAAATCAGTGATATTTATAAATCCTGGACGATATAGCGTTTTTTTTAGCCAATGCTAAGTCGCTATGCATTTGCGGTTCAAAGCATTTTCCTTGGCAACTGATTCAAGGGAGATCACTCTAACGAACGAAACAATATAGTTAAAACCTGTTAGTATTTCAAACGGGATCATAACATGAAAACACATTGGTATCAAAATATCACTTAAACAATACGCATATATTCTATTTTTAGAATACGCATAGAATATTCTACACACAATTATTCTATTTTAAGATTAACAAATCTTTTAGAAAAATAGCGAAAATTTCAATAAAGTAGATCAATTTTAATCATTTTAGACAAGTCTGGCACAAGACTAGAATACTGTAGACGCAATGAGAGTCAAATTTCATAGCCTATGGATCGAGCTTGTTAAGTATCACAAATGCCCGGGATTTGTTTTTGAATTGATTTTCTTTACTAGAATAGTTTTTTATGATACTATGACAATATTTTAAATACAATTTTGATAGTATATAAATAATTTTTTTTTTAGATAGTATAATTTAATTTTTTTTTTTTTTAGTATATAAATAATAAATGTTTTTTTCTACTTAAATTCATGAATGTGCATCATTATATAAATTATGGAATTATTAATAATTTCATTAGGTTAAGGGAGGAAAAAATTAAATTAGTTAATTACCTTCCACTGATAATAAATGTCATACATATTTTAATAACTCTGAAAGTGAACAAATAGCCAATTTTTCAAAATAACTTGAAAATAGACTTATATCTGGGTCTAAAAAATCACTATATCAGACGATAGAGAATATATATGTCAACATAAGAGAACATGAAAGAAATAATGCTATTTTCAAACTATTTTAAAAGACCTGATTTTAGATAACACTGTATAACAAAATTTTGACTTTTTTGTCTTTGGTCAGTAAATTTCTGTTATTTCCAAATTACTACTGTCTAGAAAGCAAAGGAAAAGAAAATGACTATTATTCCCTTCAAACTTTGCTTTTGTGAACTAAATGTCAATGTTTTGAAACTAACCTATTTTCCATTATATTCCAGACAGATTCAGCACTGAGTTATTGAAGAATTTTCTAGAACTTTAGAGAAGTTTCTAAAAATTTTTTAATCTCTAGAATGTTCTGGCAATGACAGGGAATGTAAGCTTAAAAGTTCAGTTTACTTCTAGCTGTCCAAGTGCAGACAAGTCATCATTGATAGATGCATTCATCACAGATGGCATCAAGAGGTTGTAAGCATCTGACAGACACATTTTGCTATGTCTCTGGCACATTTATCAAGAAAAGAGTGAAAAAGTACTCTATAGCATAATCTGCCATGAAATTCACAATCCTGTGAAATTTTGAGGGAACCAACTGACCACTCAAGCAATTGCTTCCTCTGCAAAGTGGACCCTTTCAAATATCAAGCTGGCAAGAATGCACCAGCTTTCATCCATCTCCCCCAGTGTCTCACTGCCCTGGGCTCCCTGTACTCACTCCAACAAATCAAGAGCAGCAATTCAAGAGAGGATGAAGTTAATAAGCCAGATTACAGAAGTGCAACTGAAGAGAGAAACCCATACTACCCAATACAAAAAGACCTCAACAACTTGATCAGAGATCTTGGTTTCACAAAGTCTAATGATGACACATAAAACTGATTAAGTTCTTTTTCTCTCTGGTCGAGATATAGATCTGTGTAGTAGGTATCATAGATGAGATCACTGTCATTGTTGTTTTCTATGTTGACCCCCATTTCTGTATGAATTCCTCATATGTGATGTTATCTTTGGCGTGATCGAGCTTGTTAGAAATGTAGCATTTCTTGAACTCTTTGACAATGATAGCAGTCTGCAACTCTTTCCAGGTATTGACAATCCACTTCAAGCTATGGTTTTCTCATTCTGCTTCCCAATGTTTAGATCTGATTTATTTTCCTTTGTTTCAATACACCATTAGATAGATATTATCTCTGTGATAAACAAATAAATTCAATTTGACTTGACTTTGTCCATTTTGAGTCCTGGAAAAAATCGGATTGAGTTCTAAATTAATATATAAGATGCAGCAGACTTTTGCATATGATTTTGGATGAAAAAACCTGCATCTCATACATGCAGGTTTATAGTAATAATAATGTATCCAAGTGAATAGGATATTATGTTAATCAAATATACATTTCTATGGTCTATATCTTTTGGATTTATTTATAAATTAAAATTCATATTGTGCTTATTTAATTTGCAAAAAACTTGATATTCAAAAACAAGTTATTAGCAATATCTATAATGTGGATAGATATTATAAGCTGAAGCTCATGCAATATATTGCTGATATAAACATATTCAGAAAATTTTACCAATTGTTCAAGGTCAATCACAGTCAGGCTTACAGAGTCATTGTAAACTCCAGGATCCTTTTATTAACTGTGTAGTAGTATATGCTACATATGGTTTTGAATTCAGAGTTGTTTTTTACTTCACTTGGTAGACCGGCCTACTATTTAACCCATAGCTGGGGGATTCATACTTTTCCATTGGTATTTGCATGAAAGTGAATGTAACAAAACTCAACCTCAATGCAAACTCAACTCTGATTTCTCATTTCCAAGCTGCCATCCCTTACACCACCTCCATATTTATGTAGATGCATGAGATTTTACCAAAATCAGTGGATTAATGTCAATTTTAGTAGGAAAAATTGACTTGCATAATAAAATCTGACAGTATATAAACAAAGTCTTATATGCCTTTTAAAGTTACACATACAAAGATAATGGTTTTGAATAGTTTTGATTGATTTGTTTTTTACCCTTTGTAGGTTATTTAAAGTTGAAATACATACTTCACATTACAGGAGGTTGCTTATAGTACATAGTGTTCTCAAGCAGTCTTCCATCTAAGTACTGGGCAGGTTCAATGCTGCTTAACTTTGGTGATCAAATGAGAATTGGTGTTTTCAGTGGGATTTGATCATAGGCTCATGACTTTGAATTGTTTTCATTACATCGAAGTCCAAATCAAATGGAGAGTAACTAATTAAAATTATATATATATATATATATATATATATATATATATAAAAGAACACACAAACACTTAATAAAGAAAATTATCTTTATTTTAAATGCAAAAACAAAATGTGTAAATTTACCCTGATAAAAAATTCATCATCATAGAATTTCAAACAAGAACAATCAAAAAATGTTTATATCTGAATAAATAGATTCTTTTAAAAAAATTTCTTAAATATATTACATGAAAAATCAGTTTAAATGTGTATGATCAGTAAAAAAATATATCCAAGAATTATTATTTTTTCCTGCTCAAAAAGATTTATTGATGGAACATTATTGCTATCCCATTCTTTTGAACAGAATCCAGGTCCAGAGATTGGTTGAGCAGGAATACCACGTCTGCAATGATAAACAATTGTTTTAATGTTAAAACTATTCAACTCCATTATGAAAAACATACCAGAATTAAAAGAATTAACAAATTTATCTATAAAATGCAGAGTGTGATTTTTTCTGTTTGTCTCTCTTTTGTTTCTTACTAAGAAAATCCAGTATGGTCATAAAGCATGCTCAGTGCAACTTAGTGAGTGAAATTTGAAACAGAATTTAAAAAGTATAATATATATGTGTGTGTGTGTATCTCCCAATATATTCCCAATAAATTTTAAATTCACTCTTATTTTCTGATAATGTCTGCGAATGTCAATATTTACAAAAACTGGCATGTTTATACACACAAATAATTCAAAATTCTTTTTAAAATAATAAGGTTTGCTGAAATTGGAGTAACTTTTTATGATTAGTAAATATAGTTTTTATTTAACAATATCATGTAACTGCTACAAATTAATACAAAATTTTAAAAAATTTAAAACTATTATTCTTATTAAAATTAAAAAAAAATGAAAACAATTCTTGTAAAATTTTACTATACACCCATGAACAAAATTATGAGGCAGGTGTAGAAAAGTTAGAAATATTATTGAAACTCCTACATATATTAGCTAAAAACACTATAATAAGCATTCTTGAATTTATGTTTCACTGGCACTTATAGGTACCAATAATGATTTGTGGACATTTTTACTTATTTAGCATATGTGGCAAAATCATTTATTTGAAATTTAATCTGAAGTGCTAAATCTTTTCTAATTTTTTATTAACAAGTTTAGTATTAATTTATAAGTGCTTCTTCTTTGTTGAAAATGTCCCTGAAGAAAAACTGTAAGTGAAAGAGCTGAAATTATTGCATTGTTTAAAGAAGGCTTATCGCAAGTCAAAATTACAAGAAAAGTGAAATGCTCAAGAAATGGTGTACAAACAACAATTAAAAGATATAATGAAACAAATTCTTTCAAAAATCGTGATGGCCAAGGTCAGAAGAGGTGAACAAACTCAAGGTAAGACCCTGTTAAAGATAGTATCTGTAGGTGACAGGAAAACAAACATTTCTAATATGACTGCTGAATTTTGAGAGGCAACAAACAAAGTAATATGACTGTGAGAAGATTAGTAGAAGCTGGCCTCAAAGGATGTAGTGCTAGAAAAAAAAAACATTGCTGTCTAAGGTTAATAAGAAAAAGAGACTTTCTTTGGCAAAAGAGCATGAAAATTGGATGGTTGAGGATTGGGCCAAAGTTGTCTGGTCTGGTGAAAGCAACTTTGAAATAAGTTCCTTTATGAGTTGAAACTAATTTATTGAGCTTAACTGATTTTATTATGCCTATTAATACTGTATTTTAATTGAATAGAAAATTATCCCTAAAATTTTTATTTTTATCAGATTTTTGGAACCCTTGGAGTTGTTTAAGTTCATCAAAGAGTTGGGGAAGCATATGATGATCAATGTATTGCCCCAACTGTAAAATTTGGAGGTGGGAGCATCATGGTTTGGGGCTGTATGTCATCTTCCAGGACAGGAATGTCATTCATATGGGAGGGTAGAATGAATTCCAACACCTACACAAGCATGTTAGACCAATGTTATCAACCTTCATTAGGGAAAATTTTCAACAAAAGTATACCAGATGGAGCAATCTTCCAACAAGACAATGCACCATGCCACATATCCAGAGTTTCAAAGGGTTGGTTTGAAAAGAAAGAAATGAGGGTAATGAAGTGGCCTTCTCAATCCCCTGACCTGAATCCCATTGAACATCTGTGGTCATGCTTAGGTACAAGGCTGAGGGTGCAAAAATATTTTTCAAAACATGAATTAGAAGCCAAACTTCATAAAAAATGGCAGAAAATCAAGCCAACTACTTGTGCTAAACTGGTTTCCAATATACAAAAGATTATAAAGGCAGTTCTAAAAACAAAAGGAGCCCACACAAAATATTAAATATAGGTTAAATTTATTTTAAAAGCTTTGTTCTTTTTCTTTAAATGATAAAATAAATGAGTCTCAATTATATTTCTCACTTTTATAAATCTGCCCCATAAAAAGGATTAAAAAATATAATTTAATAATCAAAAATCGTTTAGTCTTTCTCTTAATAATGATATAAATTAGACTGTGTACGACTGTGTGAGACTTTGAGGAGTTTGAGACAGCTACAAGAACAGCTGCTGTTGAGGAAATTGCTATTGTTGATAATATTGTCTCTATGGGAATGTTGATAATGAAGATATTGAAGAGCTGGTGGAAGATCACTGTACAATAGAGTATAATATATATTTTAAAATAAAAAATTCTCATTTCTACCAAAAATGTTTGCGGTTTATCGTCTTTTTAAAATGTACACTTTTCTCTTGTTGGAACAACTATAACCTTTTCCCTATATATATATATATATATATATATATATATATATATACACACATGCATAAATAAACATTGTGTATGTGTATATATATATATATATATATATACACACACATGAGAAAAAATATAGTTTTAACATATGCTATATTTATGGCTTAGTGCTCAATATCAGAGATAGAGCATATGTAAATATAAAATTGATGTCAATACCCAGTGGCAACAGTCTGTTTCATGCTTAAATGTAAACTTCACGCCTGAAGAATGCAATTTCCACTTTATATATTATATAAATTGAAATTATTATTATATTGAAAACTTGCTGAGATCACAGATACTGAAATAAAACACATTGGTCTCTAAAAGTTGTCAGGTCTTTTAAACAGAATTGTATATAAATCCATCTTTAAAAAGTTGATTCAGTTTTTGTACAATTGATCCCTCTGAGCAGCCATTCTTTAAAACCAATATTCCATTTAACAAGAATCCACTGTATATCAAAGAAAGATCAATAAAAGAGAACATTCATAATACCTGACCATACGACACCTGTGATTGATCAAGCGTCTGTTTGCGGCATTGTAGTTTTTAACCTCTTTTGCACTCCACAGTCTTTCAGCTACAACAGATGCACGGGGCCTGAATGGAATAAGAATAATATGGAATATATACTTATAATAAGGTATATTTTGAAATACCATATATATATATATATATATATATATATATATATATATATATATATATATATATATATATATGACTTTGCAAATTCTTATAACTGCTCTGTTTTTTCTTTCAATTGCTCCAGTAATTTTTATTGTAGTTTTCATTTTTGTTTTAATAATAATGTATATGGAATAATGAAGATATACATAATTTCAAATTTCAAAACACATTGAGAATTAATGCCCTATTATGATAACATTTTTATAAACAACCAAATTAAAAAGTAGTTTATCTGCTTGGTGCCTTAGGATACAGAAGGTCTCCACAGAACATTACCAATCAGCACTGTCTGTAGATGCTACTTGGGCCTCCAAGATCCATTGTTACCCACTCTTTCTCTCCAATCCTTTGTCATATCATTCTCAGAAAAAAAAGAGACAATTTTAACTTTTAAAATAGCAAATTCTGTTTTAAATAAATCATGTAGTCAGAAAAATTACTTTATGAATTTAAGTGCAGCACTTGATTGGCAATGAGGCCTCATCATTTTACAGTTGAATTGGCTAGATGTAACTATAAGTTCTTTGCTAACAGCTTCTGACACTTCTCACCTGTGGAACTGTCTCCCAGCTTCTTGCTTTCTAGCCAACTTTGATCTTCAAAAATTTAAATGCAATGGCAATCATTATCTACTGTGTTCTTGATTCCTCTTCTTTTTGTCCTCACCCTAAATAATCTTTTTCTTATTCTTTCACACTAGGTAACACCTTGTGACTTAAGGGCCTGGGGTGAAAAGATAAAAAAAAAAAAGTATATTTTAGTATGTAACAAAACTGTCTTCAAGTATTAATGAACTGTATATTTTTTTTAAGTTTATGGAATGTTCTTCATATGGTATTTTTTGATAATCCTATCAAATTCTGTTGGTTGGGTTTTTCTCTACCTTGCATTTTAAATCATCATAATCAACAACTGATGGTCATCCATTTCTGGGCTTCATTTCAAGGGACAAGTCAACAGCATTAAAACATTTAAACCTATTTTGGATACAGTGGACAGGTATTTTTTTCATTTCATCCCACTTCCCAAATTCTGTAAACAGTTTGCAGTTTTGAGGCCTAGTTTAAAACATTGTCAGAATCTCAGTACACTTGTACTCATTATTATAACATCTGAAACAAAAAGTACAAATGAAAAATATTGATAATGATACATGCAATTACTGTAAAGACTAATAAGAACACAATACTAAATCTCTCAGACATAAAATTATTGTTCATTCAACATTGGACTTTGTTCATTAATATCAGTGAGTAGGTGTGCTTTGGAGTTTTTCTTCAAACATAGATTCTTCTTCTTGCAATGATGTAAGAGACACTCTCTCTGTCTTTTCCCTCTTAGATGAGTGCTTATATATCTTCCTGTCATAGGATGTGCACATGTGGCACAAACAAAGTGTATCAGTTTACTCATGAGGAGCAGCCATTGACAACCAGTGAATGTATGAATCTGCATCTGGTGACCATGAAGTTATCTTTCAAGGTCAACCTGGTTGGTTGTTTTGTTGGTTTGTTTTGTTTTATGGCATATCAAGTTCAATGGCTTATTTAATGCCAACAAAATTTTCATTGTTGGTATTATTTTTTTTTTCCAAAAATCTATTTCTGGTAATATTTTTTCCTTTAAAAATCTATTTCTGGTAAGAATTCTTCTTCGTTGGTAATATTTTTTTTTCAAAAGATTTATTGCTGGCAATAATTTTTTTTTTTTTTTTTACAAAGCATTTCTGGTATCAAAACCTACCTCTACACCTCCATAGTGCTCCGACCCCAACTTGGGGGTCAACCACCTGCCCATGGCTGGGGCCCCAACAGGCGCCACCACCCCAGGTCAGAATGGACCCGGGAACATCAGCAATCAAGAGGCAGTTCCACGCTCCCCAAAACCTCCTGATGAGAGGCCCTATCGTTAGACACAGCTCATCATCCTAACCAGGACAGAGATGTAGTTTATTGTCATACCCAGGATGGTGAGTCAACCTGGTTTTTCTGATGCTCTGGTGTAACACTGAGTACAAAGTCTATTTTGGTATCATCTGGGGTCAGCTGAGTACATATTGGGGTCATCACATATTAATTTTTTTATAGACATTAAATTCAATTCAAATTATCTGGTATTTCTTCATGTGAATTGCACACTATGTTTTTCTTAATCATTTCACCCTAAGCAAGGCAATAAAGCCACTAAGGCACAAGAGGTTACTGAGTGTGAGAGAATATGAAAAAAAGAAAACATTATTAAGGCAAGAGAACAATAAAAGAACAGGAATTAAGAAGACAGAAGATAATGATTGACATTGCATTTAAATTTTTGAAGATCAACGTTGATTGGAAAGCAAGAAGCCAGAAGAGAGTTCTACAAGTGAGAAATGTAATGAAATAAATTGATAGCATAGAACTTATGGTTACATCTAGCCATTTCAACTAAGTACCCAAGAGGAAAGCATTATTTTTTCTGTAAAATATAGAAAATGTGACACAAGGCCAAAAGGGGGGATAGGGAAGGTTCATCGCACAAATTTAGCTAGCCACAATCTCTGATGCAAATATACTATAATATTCCTTACACCAATGCATCAAATTCTTACCATTCTTACTGCAATGACCATAATACCACAATTTCTCTATGAAATCCTAACTAGTCCCTGTACGTACAGTTTGTTTGTGGGAGATGGGGAAAATAACAAAGAGGAAAGTCCATCAGAACAATTACGATGAAAATATTTATAGAAAAAGCACAGAGAAGCTACATTACAGTGATAGAAAAGTAACTGAAGCCAAGATGCCTGGTCAGGATCAATAACATTGCAGATTCTTCTTTGGATTTTATCAAGAATCTCTAAATACATAGCTCTAAATACATATATTAGACCAGATGTGGCAGAATTATTAATGCATTGATTAATGGTAAACTTATAAATATGTAAGATAGATTCTGACAAGAAAAATTGTCTAGCATGACACAGTGATCCAACTTTCCTAGCAGCAGACGCAACAATTGATTCAACATAATCTTTCTACTTAATGTCAACTGCAAATGTTAACTTGAGAAAAAGCAATGTGTCACTCTCCTGGAGGTTAGCATCAGCCGTGCTAATGGAAGATAAAAAAGGTTCTCTAAGACAATTAGGTATAGAGCAATGTATAGTAATGATAATTCCTTATCTCAGAAATTCAGAAGAAATAGCTACATTAGATTTATTTTATAAATTATTTAATCTATTTTTTTAAAAATTTACTATAAAATAGAGTTACTGAAAAATTCTCAGTTTGACCAAAAAGCCCTTCACAAGAGAAATTTTACATTTGACTATTTGGTCAGATTTTGGTTAAATGGTTCACGCTGATAACTTTTCACCACCTCCTTGTCACTCTCCTGGAGGCTAGCATCAGCCATCCTGATGGCAGGCAAAAATCGTTCTCTTAGATGTTTAAAAGAGTGCAGTTTTGTTTTCAAGGCATTAAAAATGTATATACAGTCAACAATAAAATTATTCATACACCCATCAATTTTTAATATTTTTATCTTCTCAAAATCTAATGCCCATATGATGCCAGATTTTTTATATGTTAATACATACAAAAAAGGAGTATAAAACTGAATCTTCAGAGTAATAGATTAAATACAAAAAATTTGACAGGTGAATTATGCAAAATAGGAAAAGACAAAATTATTTGTACAGTATGAAAAATAGAAAAAACTAGCAGTAGAGCCCGGCGTTGCCCGGGGATGTAAGAGATAGATCAAGTATCGACCATCATAAAGACTGAAAAATAAAATTGACAAAGATTATTGTTTAAGGTTGACAGGCACGCATGTCTTAATTAGTTTTTTTTTTTTTTTTTACGAATTGGTCAAACCCAAATTCAAACAAAAACATTGTTTACAATCGTTATGAGTCTATCGATCAGTGAATAGAATTTTATTATAAACAATTGTCTTGTAAATGGAATTTTTAAAGCATTCTGAATGTAAATAAAGAAAAAAGTGTGCAAGACAATAAGAAATACTACCTGCCAAAAAAAAAAGTGGATGTTTGTTTTATCGGCTGAAAAATCTAAGAAATCCGATCCCATATATAAAGGAACACACACACACACACACACACACAAACAACCTGGGTTTTTTAACCAAAGTCACTCCACGGAATCGCTAAAACATAGAGCATAGTCTGATGAAAAAGACGCCAAAGTTTATGAAAACAAAATTTTATCGTCAAAATGCTTATGTTTTTATGAAGAGGATAGACTAAATTTATTTTTAATTATTTTTAAAAATTTTTCCATCTTTTTAGAATATTCTAAATTTTGATTTAAAAAAACCTTGTTTCTCTTTGTCACATCAAGGGGTAGTAAATAACATAGATAATTTTTAGCGCGTTTTTTTTTTGCATTTACACACATTAATTTGGAAAATCTTACAAAAATAAAAATAATTGTCAGATGTTAATGAAACTTTCAGAAACTATTCACAGATGATTGAAATTATTATAAATATGTTTTGGTTTTTTTTTTATTAAAGTCATGGCAGAAATATTTTTTTTTATATTTATTAACACCCCCATAACTAATTTTATGAAAAACTCTAGAAATTCGAGACCATCGGTTTTAGTGATTACAATAGCTAAAAGCACAAGGCTTTGAAGAATGCAAATCATGTATTTTTTTTTTATTATTTAGTTTCAAATGCTTTTATTTGTTTTAATTTGTTTTTATGAATATGGACAATATTTTCTGAAAGCAAAAAATTTTTTCAATGAAAATTGAATTTTTAATACAATTATTTCTTATTTCTTTAATTTTAAAAAGATTTTTTAAAAATGTTTAAATTGAATTTTAAAAAATATTTTAACATTAGTTAAAAGCAACATCAACCTTTCAAAATGTCCGTGTGAGATTGTCATTGTCTAGCGCTTTGAAAATTGTATAATTTGGACCAATCAGATTAGCCATGGTAATTAAGAAATGTAATTTTGTGTTTTATAGTCGGACAGTAATTATCAAGTACGGAAGACCAACCAGAATACAATTTAGTTGCATTATTTGAGTTCAGCATTGTTCTCCGCTGTTAAGCCCTTTACTTTTGCGAAACACGTATGGAGAAGTTAATTTGAGTTTTCAACTGAGAAGGGTACCTACAAGTAACAGTATCATCTTATGAAATTTAACTACTGCTAAACTTTAATTTATATGATCTTATTTTTATATTAATCTCAGTTATGACATTTTTCCATAAATGAAATATCAAACAAAATTAATAATAAAATGAATGGAAATACAAATAACACAGTAAAATGTAATAAATGTACATAAAATTATAGTATTTTATGTACACTTCTGATAAAATTTCATAAGAAAGGTACCTAAATTAATTAGATACCTTTTTCTTATGAAATTTAATCTCACTATTAACAGTTTTATTTTTGAATTTCTTTATATTTTCCATAAAGCATCGTAAGCGTAAAAATGAAAGCTAAGTACAAAAATAAAAAAATTAGAGCGCTTAGAAAGTTTTCCTTAAAAGTAACAAGGTAAATAATTTGTTCACTTAAATAATTTCACTTCCTTCCATCCGTAGAAAGAATTACACTCCCGTAAGTTATCTAAACGTCATGAATGTGCCTTTTCGTCAATCGTCAAGCGACGCTGAAAGGTTATGACCTGCTTTGTTTTATTTTCAAATTACATTTTTTTCAAGCGCAGAAGCTAAGTTAAGATTGGTTCAAAATATTTTAAATAAACAGTATAATTTCTGTTTTTATTAAAATCAGTTTTGAAAAAATGATAATTGATTTTTAAAAGAATATCAAAGTAAGATTTTAATCTTTTTTATCAAATCGAAAAAAATGATTGATTCTGTCCTTTTTTTTGACCTCAAAAAAAAAACAATATTTTTAACGAAAATTTCAGACGTGCTAGGAACGATTAAAAAATGTAAAAAAATACCCCAAAATACTTTTGATCTTTCCTCTTTAATAATAATATGAACATTAGACGATAAAATTTTGTTTTCGTCAAGTTCGGCGCCTTTTTCATCATTCTATGCTCTTTTGTTTACATTTTCGTGGGTGAGTTGTCCCCTTTCATTCTTATGATGTGTCTTAATCATGTTTTCAAATTGATTTTATTAAAAACAACTGTGTTTTTTTCCCATTTTTCGGCCCGTTAGAACCACCACAAGGTAATTTTATGTAGTCCTGTGAAGTTTTGTTGAAATCGGCTAAAAATGTAGGAAATTCGATCCAACATATAAACGTTACAGACACACACACACACAATCTGCGTTTTATAATAAGTAAGATTTAACAATTTTCACAATTAATAGTCAATAACATGGCCTCTCATCTTTATAACTTGCTGCAATCGTTTTCTAAAATTTTTGATAAGATTTGAACAAGTCTTTTCTGGGATTTTCTTCCATTCTTCAATGGTTACATGTTCTAATTCCTGAAAGTATTTTGGTGACTGTCAATTTATTTGAACTTTCAATTCTTGTCATAGATTTTCAATAGGATTCAAGTCAGGAGTCATTGAAAGCCTTGGCAGAAATGTAATCTTGAATTCTAAATGGTGGAAAGAACAAGTTCAATTGTTGATCAAATAAAAAAGCCACAAGATACTGTTCAATATGATGTTTGTATCTTATAATTATCAATGATGTGAAATGTAATGGTGAAAATTGGCTTAGTTATGTAAGGGGAGTAATTGAGAAGTCTTCAAAAGTCACATGATATGTGAGTATATACGGTTTGTATATATATATTGTGTATTTGGTCAGCAAGACCTCTTTTATGCAAATTTCATTGAAAATGACTGACAAGGTGTGGTGGTTGAGTTTTTTAATATAATTTCTTATGATAATACAATTATAATAGCATCACCCACATGTACAAAACAGCTAAAAATAATGCAAATAATTAATAAAAAAGAAAAAGCCAACACTCAATAATATCAACTATGAACACAGTCACAATGTGCTGAGCGTATTTGAAAAATAAAATAAATAAAACATTTCTATAACTCTAGATACATATATAAAAAAGATATATATTAAGTTAAAAGTTAAATAAAATTCATCCTTGATAATGGCTATATATATGTAATTCATCCTTGATAATGGCTATATATATGTATAGCCAAAAGCAAATTCAACCACCACACCTTGTCAGTCATTTTCAACAAAACTTTATATATATATATATATATAAATAATCCCTTTATACGTTATTTTTAGTGGATACTAGTATCTGAACATTATTATCTATCCAATATCAACAATATTACAAACATGCCAAAAAGATTCCACAATACAAAAAACACCATTTAAATCAAAGTATTGATTGGTTAGAAATTAATATCACTATGTGAAATATTTGACCAATAAGATAAAAACTAAAAATATATTTTTCTTGAGCCTAGTTTCAGGAAAAATTTTCTATAAAACCCACAGATTTTGACTGAGAGGAGCAGAGATATGCAACTGTCTCCATGCTTTGGCTACATAGCTTCTTCCTTTCAACCCCCCCCGATCATCATACTGAAAGACACATGTCAGTGACTTCAAATGAATCATCTCCAATAACAAAGATGGTCAGTGAAATTTCACTAAAAGTCTTTTTTCAATCACACCTTTATTCTATGAATCAACTACTTAAAAGTCTTTCTAAACCACAGCGATTTCTGTGAACCAACTACCCAAAGACTATTTTTAATATTTTTTTTATTTCTTCTTGAATATATTTTGTAAACATAAATGATTTATTAATCAGGCATAACCATGTTTTCTTTAATTTTATTATTGTCCAGAATTTGGATGTTTGGATTTTTAATATAGAAAAAGACTAAATGACAGAATTTCCTACACTGCTATCGAGTTACAAAGTTATTTATGTCTTTGTGATAAAACTTTAAAGGCATGAAGAGCAAGAAATCTTTGAATGCAGTTTCTCTATCTTCTTTGCAATGGAATATCTTTTGGCTTAAAATTTGTAAAAATGTTTAAAAATGTGGTAGCCAATGGGCAAGAGATCATGGGAATATGGTGGATGTGGCAAAGTCTTGTATGCCAAGTAAATGAGCTTCTGCAGTGTCATCTTGGCAATATGTAACTGAGCATCGTCACAAAGCAGAATTGACTTCATCAATTAATCAGTACCCAATGCATTTTGCTTAATTCAATGTGCATTTCATCTAGTTTTGGCAGTAAATTTCAGCAATGATGTTCTGATTAGATTCCAGAAAGCAGTAATGGATAACACCAATGGTGGACCACGAGACAGTCAACATAATTTTATATTGGTACAATTTCAGTTTTGAGGAATAGATCATTCTGATTTAGTAGATGCAGCATTAAACACACTTCAAAATATCAAAATCTTTGATTTTCACTGAGTTCATGTGGAACCCATTTATTGAGTTTCTTAACCTTGCCAATATTCTTGAGATCATTTTCTATTGTTGAAATGCTGACACCCATTATCTGAGACATTTCTTTGATACTTTGACATGGGTTTTATTCAATTAGCATTTTCAGATATTGATTGTCAATTGCAGATGGATGTCCTCTACCACCTTGATCTTCAAGACTCATAAACCCATTACAGGACTTCAGAAACCAGCACCGTACTGTTTGATCACCATTGGATCCTTCAGCCCATATTCTGTTGATATTGGATGCCATTTGAGAAGCATTATGACCAAGAAGAAAAATGTAAATGCAACTCTTCTTTTTTCATGTTCAAAATAAGGGGTATACAATATTTGAAGTTAAATTTTGAAAGAGATTGATATAAAAACAAAAAGGACACTTTAATCATTAGGAATGAGTAATAAATTTTTGTGTAACTATTATAATAATATATTAGAACACAAAAGGTTTATCCTAAAATTAAACTTTATTTTCTGAAGAATTTAATAATATAAAATAATATAAAATAATTGTATTAATATATTTCTCAGTCACTTGACCAAAAATTGATGATAAATACTTACCAAAGCCTTGGCAAAAGGTTTGTGTTGTCCACATATTCACCCCACATGCAAGCCTCACCACCAATTACAAATTCCTTTTGTTTATCAGTACCTGGATAAGACAAAATAGAAATGATATTACTTCAAGAATTCACTAGCAGAGAAATAGGAGGGAGGATTGATTGAATGATTCATTTGTTTGTTTAATAGCATATCAACACCTTATGGGTCATTTAATGCCAAAATTTAATTTTCTTGGGAGCTTTGAAATAATGAAAATATGATATGTTATTCTGCTTTCACAATTGAATACATGGTAGATAATACTCAGCCTTTATGCATGTACATATTTGTATGGACATAATTATTAGAAGTAGTGATATGTGTGTTTTATGTTCTAGTTTTGTTGGAGTTATATTTTTATATATATTTTGATTTCTTTAAGAAATTCCAGGATATTATGTGGATCAATGTCTTTCTTTCATGTTGGCTGATAGGTTGGTTGATTTTTAGCAGCATATCTACATCTATAAATTTTATAGCTTCAACTAAATATATTTTGAATGCAATTATATGCCTCCAACTACAGATAAAAAGCTATTGTTGGCCATTTTGCTTCTAAAGCATATTGTTGGTAATTTTACTAAAAATATGTATTTTGGTAATTTTTTTTATATATAAATGTATTGCTGGTAATTTTAGTATAAAAATGTATTTTTATACTTCCATAGTGTTTTGTTTGGGGGTTCACTATTTGCTCATAGCTGGGACCCTAACAAGTGCTACCACCCTAGGTCAAGGTGTATCTGGAAACAATTAAGAGGTGATTCCATGCTTATCAATATCTTCAATCTCCCAATCAAAAGCCTTGCTACTGGATGTAGTTTATTGCTATACCCAGGACTAGAGAAATAGGAGAAAAAAAAGATAATTCCTTCTAGACATTCTTTATTAAAATAAACAAATTGAGATATTTGTGAAAATAGAAAAAGACAATATTTTAAGTTAAAAGGAATTTTAAATTCTTTCTAGACATTCTTTACTGATAGAAACTAAGGTACATTTGAAATACCAAAATACAAGTGCCATTCATTTTGGACATTTTTGCTTTTTCCCTATATATATATATATTATATATATATAATCTTTACAGTGAATCAATATTTTGACATGATTTTTTTTTTAATAAATCCTACTCATGAAATCATGGATTATATAAACAGAAACTATTTAAATAATATGTAGTGTATTTCTATAATGAAATAATTTACAATGGATTTCTTTCCTAAAATAATTTCCCTCTTTTTCAGAATTTGCAGTGTCACTCTCCATATATCACCATTCAATTGAATGAAAATTTTGATTTATAAGTTACAGTATAAATTATATTTATTATTAGGTGGTGTAAACAAATAATGTCATCGAGAAAATTGGGCAAAGAAGAATCTAGCCATATGAGTAAACTTGAATTTTGTCTGTTGATGGGTTCAAGTCTATTCATTTCTGATCTATTCTGCTTATTTAATGTGTATATAATGCACGCACACATGCACACATACATATGAAAAATATGATATAAAACTAAGTATTTCAGATCAATAGTAGGTAAGTTGATGATAAAATAAAAAAAAAATTCTTAGTGATGCTTTTCATTTCATATTATAACAAAAACACTGCCACCTGGAGTTTGTCAGTGAAAGGGAATACAATAACTCAAATGCAACAAAGATTTATTGACAAATATATAAATATATGCAGTATATTATATAGATAACTAAAATTGCATTTATAGTGATTTATTTTTATTATTTCAAAAGTTATTTTTAATGGATACTGGTGTTAAATGCCAGTTTTTTTGTTTTTTTTTTTCATTTTTAGTTTAAACAGGGTGTATTACATCTATCTGTTCATGCATTTGATAAAACTTAATAAAGTAAATGTGCTCTCCAGCAGGGTTTGAACCTACATCCTCCTTTGTAGGAGAAACCACCATCTGATCAGGTGTGTTTTAAATTGCTCAGCCATAAAGAGAGTCAGAGATGTAATTTGGTTTTAAGGTGTATTTATAGCGATAACATTGTGTTATGGTTTGTTTATATTCCTTAGCAGTAATGACATTCTGGTGTAAATAAAAAAATATGATACAGTTTTAATGGTTAATGAAAACGGTTTGTTAGCATTTATCAAATGAAAAAGCATGGCACACATTTACCTGGGAAATCATGTGGATCACACATATAATATTTGTGCCAATCACTTCCATAACTGATGTAATTTAAATACCAACAGGATGAGAGGAGAGTTTTGAAACCCATAGAAGTCACTTTTCTTAATTCATATTCATATTCTTCCTTCCACACTTGAATAATTGTATCCTTTGGTATCTAAAAAATATAAAGAAGAGATTTGTATCTGTGATTGAAAAGAAATGATAGTGAAAAGAAAACAATAGGATAAAGTGATACTGGTGATAATTTGAGATGTGAAATCTTACATTCAAAGGTTTTTTTTGGCCTACAGAACTGTGTAACCTTTTACCTTTTTTGTGACTATAATGTTTCAATCAATTCATTCTTTTAGTGTATCATGTTAAAGATATTGTTTTCTTTTTTGTTATTATTCCAAGAGTTTGATCAATCATGGGAACCTGTAAACTTTAGTTTTGTGTGACATAACTAGCTCAGGTTTGTAATGTTTCAGTCCTGAATATGTGACTTAGCATAACATGGATGTAGGTGTCTTCTGCACAGGATGTTACTGAGCCAGTGACTAGAACAAAAGCCTATCAATCATCTGTAGTATCGAATCTTTTTTTACAAGTGATGAAAAAAAAAATGGTGGCTTAGATTGTTTCCACCCATTGTCTGCAACTGTTCAATATTTGTATTGCTCACTGCTTATTTTTGTAGAAAAGAGCCTTGTCATATCTTTATGGATTTTTTGCTTAAAGAAGATTGTGGAAGGGATCAGTTAAAATGTGATGCTAAAAACAATTATAACACAAATAACAAGTTCAATAACTCTTGTAAAGAATGAAACATTTGAACTAAAATCAATATTTAATAACAATGTTTACAACATTTTGGTTGTAGAACTAGAATAACAACTAAGACATAATAAAATAATAAATACAAATTATACATGTAATAAAATAATAAGTACTAATAATTATACATATAATTAATACATTAATAATTATACATATCTGTTAATACATTACCTTTTGTACTTATCACATATATCAGCTGCTAGATTTTATCAACAATTATCAGACATTAATAATTTAGTATAAAAATGGTTACACCAAAATACAGTGGATCCTTGCTTCATGAATTTAATTTGTACCTGAAGGCTGTTCATGACCTGAAATGTCTGTAAACCAAAACTATTTTCCCCCCATAGGAATCCATATAAAATGTATTAATCCATTCCTAGACCCCAGGTGATTGCTTATTTAAACTTTTACAACAATAGTTTGTACACAAGTTTATGCACAAAACCAATGAAAATCATTAAATCTAACACAAAAAAGATAAACACAATACTAAAGAGATAAAATATATAGATGAATAGTTAATTTAATTTTGCCATACCGACAGGGAGGAGAGTTGATGTCATAAGTGGGAGGTGGTGAGGAAGTGAAAGGGGAGAGATGTTATTGTTTGAATTGGGGGGAGTTCCTTTCCATAAAAACATGATTCTCTCTTTATTTTTGAGAATAGTACAAATTGTTGATTTTGTTATAGCAAACAAGTAGCAAGATGAGAGACCCAAACACCATTTTCATATTTGGCTATGATTTCTTTCTTCACCTTTATTGTGATTATGGTCATTTTTCTTTTCACTTTGCTATCATTATGCTTCTTTGCTCATCATGGTGCCTTTTTTAATAATTTATTAAAAAAACCCCAAAAAACAATGAAATTCAAGAAAAGGCATGGCAAGTTCAAGTAGGATACACAGTATAGAGCAAAAGCTACACCACAATTAATGCTATCCTTCTGATGCTACCAATTTGTCTTATCACATTGTCACTGGTTTACGTGTTTATCATTCAAGACATCATTCATCAGAGACATTTTTTGTTTGGAAAATTTATTTTGTGACCCAATTTGTTCATAATGTGAAGAGTTTTCAACCCAAGGTTTGACCATATTTTACTTTTATATTCTTATCAAACAATTACTCATTGTTCCACAATGAGTTAATATTAGTTTATCTGTTTGTTGTAATTTCTATATCTAACCCATGCACATTTTCATATGTTTTTAGTTAACTTGAAAGTTATAGGGTTTTATAATAAAACTAATGACTTCTGATAAAACTATTTCCCTTACAGCTAGACAAACCTTGTCATTTTAAGTGTAATTAATACACGTGATTTATTTTTTTTGGAGAGAGAAAGAAGTTAGAAAGTAAAAATAACAAACCTTTGCATCATTGTCAATAACTTCTTGCCAAATAATATATTTTTTCCCCAAATCTCTGATGATTTGAACAATTCTGAAAAAAAAAAAAATTGCAAGAATTATGACAAGAAAAATTTCAGATAATATATGGTTCATTTTTTGTCAATATGTAGATTAAATAAGTCTATTGCTCTCCCAACTGTCACTTGTACAAATCACAATATCGCTGGTTCAATTCACCGTCCTCGCTTTCTTCACACGTCACTACGTATAGCCAACGTTTCTCTTTTTCTTTCACGGCTCCAGCACTCTTTTATCAGGCCAACACCGCAGTTCCCCAGCCAATCAGCTTTCTTCGCTGTTATTCTCGTTTTACACAGGCAAATTGCCTCCTCCAGTTCGACCAATCAGCACACGACTTGCTATTAGTGGAAGCATTCCAAACTGTACAAAAAACCCTCATCATTGCATATACTGCTAGAATGACTGGACGGGAGAGTTGTGGTGTTGTGGGAAGTGTATATTCGTTGGTAATTGTTGCTTGTATAAGAAGGTAGGTAAGCAGTAGCAGTCACTTATGGACAGCTGCTAGTTTGGCCTAAAGGTTCAACAAGCAATCAAATTGAGGTCACCATAACATAAACAAACAAAATATGAAAGAGAAGGGTATATCAGAAACACTTTATATTTAAATACACATCAATGATAAGTATAATGTTTCTTGATTAACGCGCACAAAGTCCGTTATTAAAATGTTCATTCAAAGAAAAGAAATCAGATTATGAAAGGAATTAAAGTGTCATTTTGTGAATACTTAAGTTTAGGCGTGCAGGTCCCAGGAGATGAAAGGTGAGGTCAATGGGTTGGTAGGTGTCATTTGATATCTCCGTTGGTGAAGGAAAACTGAGGCGTCGGGTTGATGGGTGAGAAAAGCGTGGCGACATTCTATGACGGTAACTTCAAGGCTTTCTGACCAGAAGTGAATTCATCGTTCTATTTATGTGTGTCCATCGGATCTGAGTCAGTATGCTGAAACAAACTGTTGGATATGGCGCAGGGCCGTTTAATTGGTGGAAATTGCTTATTATATTCTTTTTTTCTTTTTGATTTTCCACCGAACTTATGCATCGAGCCTGGTGCGCAAAGACCAGTATTGGTCATTTGCTATCTAGACCTCTGAGGGTTAACATCCGGTCCTTCGCTTGCTCAGTACCACCACAGAGTAATGCCATTTTCATGAAGCAAACTTGCTGATGACACGTGCCGCATGTTAAGGTAAGACCCTTATTTTCCTATACACCAGATGCAAGCCACTTTGGCTCGCTTGCTTCTATGGGGCTGTTCACCACACAACAAGTAATATAGCATTTTTAAAGACATGACTTTTTAAAAGAAATACTGTAAAACGACAAATGTTATGTAAAAATATGTCTTTCTCTCTGAATTTCTGGAACAATGAGCTATCATTATTATTTAAATTCATACTATTGTCCTAATCTTTGTTGTTGTTATCACAATGTTTTGGATGTGTGACCTCCAGCTTTCTTCATGTCTCTGTTGATCCAAGCAGCTACAGGGAATTTCAAATTAAGCCCCTTATTTAATTTAGAAGGTAGATTCTTCTTGTTCCACTGTTCATCTCTAGAGATACCTCCTCCTGTTCTTATTTAGTACAGCTCAATTATTTCTTGTCCAGAGTTTGAGTCTTTAGTACCCAACCCACAAACCCACATTTTAATTCATTAAGCTATTAGACAGACTTAGATGAGAACAATCTATCCCCATAGATTCTATAAAGGGTTCAGTTCAAAATTCTTTAAAGATTATCATGATAGTCAGAAAAAAGTCAGAGGGCACAAGAGCTGAAATGTTGTGGTCAGTGATAGGCAGATGTTTAGTGATGCCTCGAGCCAACTCCTTGACTGTATGCTACTATGACTCAGGTGTGTGTGTGGGGGGAGGGGGTGCTATAGGGCCTAGTACTGAGAAATGTGAGAAAAGAAGACATTTTAAATATGTAAAAACAGATGAAACATTAAATAATAAACACTTTATTCAAGTTAAATATAAACTAAATTTTTATTTCACTCTTTGATTGGATGCCCAGGGTCATTGCACCATCTGCCCTCATACTTCGGCATGCTACTGGTTGTGGTAATAACAACAAAGATAAGGACAATAGTTCAACTGTAAATAATAAGAATATGGCTGTTCTAAAGGATGATGCATTTGGAATTTAACTTTGATTTGTTCAAGTCAATTCTAATTTTTTCAGTAAAGATTCTGATCAGTTAAATTGAATATTTTTCTACAAAATTTTATTTTCTGATGTAAATATGCTCTTTATGAAAATGATTTTTATGTCTTTGGGAACTTGTTTATTTTAGAGAAAAACTTCCATTTTAAATGGAAGTGAGCAAATGGAGTTTAAATAGGGGCCCGATTTAGAATGCATATATAATGTCAAACAGGACCCTGACTTTGTATCCAACATTATGACAGTGAGTTTAAAATGTAAATATATTGCTAAACTGGAAGTTTATTTTGTGCCCATCTTTATGCATGTAATTTTAAAATGCAAATATCTAAAAAGGAAAAGAAAGTTCATTTGTGTTGTGAATTGTTACATTCTATGTAATCTCTGGATTCCCCACCCTACTACATAAAACAATATCAATGAAAAGAACCATTTATTTTTGTTATTCATTTTATTAAGAGTGGCAGCTTCTTAGATTCTAAGAGGCAGTAGGAGTTAATATCACAGGAACACATGGCTCAGCATCCCACTAAAAGTGGTCTTACCCAGTTGCTAACTTGGGTGGGGGAAGCATATTGACGCTTCAGAATTCTTGAGACCCTCTGTTGAATTCACGCAGTTTGGACTTATATTCAAAACCCATACATAG